AAAAAAAAAAAAAAAAAAAAAACATGAAAGAGAAATAAGAAGCTGTTAACACTTTATACTAGGACAAAAGAACTAGCTAAACAATAAAACTTTTTAAGTCTTCAATGGCATACATCACAATAAATAATAAAATTGACAGTAATTAGTTAGTTTAGTCCCAGGGAACTCAGATGTGAGTGAACACTTGTTTCTCATAGTACTCTATCATTTTTGCAGAAACATTTTCATATACTCAAATGTTATTAAAATATGATTTTTTCTGTTAACATGTTTGAAGCACGATTACATTTCTTGGTTTGGACACTCATCTGCTACATCATAGCTGTTGCTCACTGCCATGACATTACTGCAAAGAAAAGTCTTCTCTACCTTTCTCCCTTCCTCTTACCTCTCCACAACCAGCACTGGAAGGTGTCACGGTGAGACACCGCAAGAGAATACCCCCTCCTCAAGGAGTTCATAGTCCAATAAGGAGTTCAGGAAGACCAGGGCATAAATGTTCCCATCTGTGTCTTTTGCCTTCTCTTATAAAATGGGCTCAATAATATAACCTACCTCAGATTGTGGTTTAAGTGTAAAGTGCTAAGCAGAGTGCCTGGTCCAAAGTGGGCACTTAGTAAATGTTACCTAGAATTAGTATTCACAAAGATACTATTAAGATACAGGATTATCACATATAAGATAATTCCAAATTTTTCTTTTGAATAAAAGGAGTTTTATAACTCAAGATAATATTCTCTTACTTTAAGCAACAATCTCACAAAAACAAGAGATCAGGGGAGATTTTACGCTATTTAATTCCCAAATCCATACCTGATGTTTCCAAGTAGGTTAGAGGAGTTTTTATCGTATCTTTTAAATTTGCTTTTTCCTAAGTTATGTTATTTTTAAGAGGTCTATATGTAATATTATTTCTTTGGATAATACTAAATATAAAATAAATTGCTGTATATAATATTTAAATGTAATTTAATGGGATAATAACCACAGGACAAGACCAAATCTTCTTGATAATCTTCAAAAATTGCAAAACTGTGTAAACCAGTGTACATGCATAAGCTACTTCGTATTGCTAGCTTATTGTTGGGTATGTAGCAAATAAAGCAGTGTTAGGCAATATCTTGTACTTACAGTGTCCTAAGCAGAAGTGCTGAGTAAAGTGTAAAAAATATAATTTTTCATTACAATTCTCTATCAGTGACCTGAGAAGAAAAGGTTTATTGCCTTTTCTTGAGGCGGTAAACTCTGAGCCATCTGCTGGTGTTTTTACTGCCTTCTAATTGGGTACACATTAGAAAGAAGCATTATGAAAAGAAACTGATTTTAGTTAAGAGTACATATACACTATAGTTTCATGACAGTAAATATATTTATAAACGCTTAGTTTTTTAAATTTTATATAGAAAATAGCCATGTTTAAGAAACTTGATATTGGTAGCTGTATATACTCACTTCTTTCTCACAGTATTTTTCCTACTCTCATTTTAAAGAAAATATATTATTTACTTTTTAAAATTTATTCCCATTAGGCAGTTGTTTTGATTGTCAGTAGTAGAAAAATACTAACCTGAAGGTTAGGTAAGAACAGTAGAAGGGGAATGAATGACTCCATTTGATGAAAGTAAAAATAATTTAATTAGTAAATATTTAATTGAGCTCCTTATGAATGAGGCACTTTATTAAAGTTTTGTATAAGACACAAATCTTAGAAAACATGATCTTTATCCTCAATCACCAGCATTCTCATAAAGGGGATAAAATTTGAAAACACATAGTTAAAGTACAAAGGAGAGATTAGAAAAAATTACCTTAGAGGTTATCAAATTTTTAAGTTGAAATCTAAAATTTTCATCATATGTTTAAATAGCTGCAAAAATATTATTTTTTTCAAAATATAGTAGTTATTGAAATTTAAAAACTGCTTGGCTCTATTTATCCAATGGAATTTAAATACCATAATAATTTGTTACCATAGCCATTAAAAAAATATAAATATATAAACATATTTATGTACTCATTAGAAATTTATCTTTTCTATTCTCATATTTCCTTTCCATTTCCTTCAACAAATTTTATCCTAAAGTAATAAATTTATATCTCCTAACATATTTTTGATGATTCTATTATAAGTTTCTGCAACAAAAATAGCTATAATTTGAATTCGAATTTTTAAAAATGTCCTTTGTCTACAAAGGTCAAAATGTTTAACCTTTTTTTTTTTAGATTGAGTTAGCATTTATGATTATGAGTAGTACACAATTGATGAATTACAAATTCTGATAAAATTGTTCGTTTTTAAAGTAGGTATTTTAGAAATTTATCTTAGCGAGAAGCATAGGATCATTTTTTCAACTAATTTAAATATTAATGGATGGATATTTCTTATTACTAAAGTGAAACAGCCTTCAATATAAAGTCTATTATTACTTTTTGTTATTATGAACTTATTGAAAATCTTGTTTTCAGAGGTAAGTAGATAGGAATGGAAGGACTAATGTCATTCAATTTCATGCACTATTTTTAAGTTATAGTCAAAAAGCACATAGCAATTAATCATCAAAGTAATTTTTAATAATGTGTCAGCTAATAACTCAATTGGGCCCTTTAATTTTGTTAAAATCAAAACATCTGTATTGTGAAAAGATTTGTTATCCAGTTGTTACAGTCAATCATTCCCTCACTTAGTTTCTGGGCAGCATACCAAAAAGGCTTTACTAAGACTTAATAAAAGACTATTAATTATATTCTGGAATTTTTCACTTAGAGGCAACTTGCTTAACCTCAGATTGATATGCTCAGAAAGGATTAAGAGAATTGAAATATTATTAATTGTATGCCTTTTCACATATAGATATAATAAAATTCTATTTTATCACATGCTCTATTTATATCAAACCATTAGAGCTCAGATTTAGCTTGTTAGCTTGTTTAATTCATAGAAAATGTCTTTTGTAACTTAATGGGTAAATCTGGTCCTCATTGTCAAACTAATTT